CTGCAATCTCCCAAATCCTGAAGCAAAATGACTCGGGCTATGATGTCAACTTCGATGAATCCACATGTCCGAATTCACCGAAAAAATCGGTCCATGCCCGCTAGAAAGGAGGACTGCCTCGGACTCGGGAGTGACTTATACAAAGTGGACATCTCGTGGATGCAGTGAGTTGTCACTGGGGGTGCCGCCTTTCACTACTTGACCCTGTCCTCATTTTGTCGCTCCCCCGTACTCCTGTGCCACTTGCGTGGCTAGCGGACATTCATGGACGGCCTACAGATTCAGCAGTTGAGCGCGTGTCCAACAGATTACTCCAGAAGCTTTTTGTTTGTGGCTCAGGCGCCTTCCGGTACTCTTGACAACAATGCCGAGGTTTCCTAGGCCAGAGATGGTCCAAGGCTGCGTTTGGAATTGCTCCTTACTTCCCGGGAGCTTCCCTGGTATAGAAGTGCCAACCAGCTCCTCAAATCCGAAAAATGCTCCTTGGTCTAAAGCCGGTCGTTGTGCGCTAAAAAACGTGGGTGTGTGCTGCCAATCAGAAAGATCACCCGGCGAGTACCAGTATTATCTACGTGGAGTTGCATTCATTCTGCTCAGTGCGAGGTCGATTAGATAAGATGTCTCGCCCAATACAGCCGGATACAAGTAAAACATGACGCACCTCGGAGAGTGCATTGTCCAGCTTGGTCTGTTGAGAGCTTGCCAGCTCCTAACGCGAACGGTGACACCCTCACAGTTCAGTGACCCTCCAGCCAAACAGGAAAAACTGGTGCCACTGAACAACCAGCCCGTGAACCGACCAGTCCTTTATCAAACCTATCACCAACGAGCAACATAGGGGCATTTTCGATAGGGGATTGGAAGACACGGCTGGAGTATACCCCTTTGTAAAACCATGAAAGCACTATGTAACCCATTGAGCAACATCCTTTGCAATTTGATTTTGCCCTTCAAGGACGTGGGGCATGCGCCAAAGCTGAACACACTGCAACTGGCAGTTGTGCAAAAGTTGTCGGAAGAACATGTTTTGACATAGCCACGATCAAGATTCACAGTGTCCCCAACTCACCTAAAATTTGGTGAGCAACGTCCATGTCCGCATGCGTCAGGTGTGGGGTCGCGTTGTCTCAAAGTGACTCCCTTTGTACAGTAGAATGTTGACCGCGGCTCACCATGGGTGGGTTCTGGAGGTACAAGAAATATAGAGGGACAAATAGCTAGTAGAATGCATGGGTGGGTTATCGGTACCATGTAAAGAAAAATAGTCGCAATGGTAGAAGTATAATAAGATTAGTAAATGGTTGGCCTTGGTGTTATTCTGATCAATTTCGGTATGTCAATTCGAAGTGCCATGAAAAGAGGCAGCTTTGGGAGCGATTGCCCTATCCTCCGAATCCCTGCAGCCCATGGTCGTATACGTATTTCTCCAAACTGGGTGGTACTAAAACGAGGGTCTGGAACAAACGCAAGCAATTCCATCACTGTTGGGTGAACTGTTGTGTAACTAGTATCCATGTGCCACCTTTTCAGGGAAAAGAGTCGGGTTCCTGGATGCAAAAGGAATCCTACAGCATTACAGCATGAGGAGCCCTAGCTTTTCTTTTTCGAAGTGGTGTTCAAAGTTCAAGGGACCCAGCCACAACATGAGTCAAATTGTTGCGTGGCCTCAAACGTCTCTTCAACGTGTTCAGCTTTGGTGGGGTGGCGGTTAGTCTTACATTCAGCACCCAAAGCACCCATTGGCCATTAACGTTGAGATTCTGCTGCATGGTTTGGGGTCTATGGCAAGGCCTAAATCAAAATTCATGATGTTCGTTAAAAAAACAAATCTGAACATCTGTGGACGTTGCGTCCCTGGATTTATGGTCGCTAGGTCCATAAAGGGATGTCCAAAGACGAATATTGTTTGAGAAACGCCATAAATGGCATAGGAAATGCATGAACATCCTGAACTTGCCAACCCTTCGCATATTGGACACGCAAAAGATTTCTTGCAGCCCCCACATATAGAGAGAGAGACAGAGAGAGCCGAACATCGAACGTGCACAACGACCATTGTTCACACCTAAACAAATGGTTTCAAGTCTTTTCTACCAGCATCTTGGTCAATAGCAAAAGTGTGACATGTTGGCAGAGACATGCCGTAACTTAGATAAATCATCCCAGCACCAGAAACAACTGCATTTTCCCATGTCAAAAATTCCAAGTACTGTCCACAAAGCGTCCTTCAAGTCCTCTTCAGCATCCCGCAGGGCCTGCCAGCTGGGTGGTGTGTATGTCTGTAAATGCATGCCTACCTACTTGCCTGTATGTATGCACTCATGCATGTCTGTCTGCCTGTATTTATGTATGCATGTATGTCTAGATGTTTGCATGTCTGCCTGTCTGCCTGTATGTCCGTATGTCTGTCCGTCTGTGTGTCTGCCTTATATCACTTATATCTGTATACATATATAGATACATAAATATGTACATATATACTTGAAAACCCTCCAATGGCCGGCCTTTCGCGCTCCAATCGCGACCACAAACTTGGTAACTTCTTCCAATCTTGCCAGAAAACATGTAGATGTTGCCCCAATCGCGGCCCAATCGCTGGCCTTTCGCGATGCAGGTTTACATAAATTGAAGATATGCATTTGCGGATATGCATGTATGAATGTCTGTACGTCGGTATGCATGCATGAATGCGCTTCTATGTATGGCATCCTTCAGTGAATGTCTGTGGAAGAGCACATCCCACTCCGGCTGGAACTCACGTGTTCGGTTGTCCGGTTGCCAGCAAAAGCAGATAGTAAAACAAGGATCACATCATGTTGGCATGTAGCACAAATGCCACGACTTGGGCAACACGGCAACGCGTGATTTTCCTTGACCACGCCTTTGCTGAATCACGCAATGCTGTGTCGAACCAACCCAAAAAACACATGGCTGAGCGTCTAAGCTACAATCTCGATTCAGCTGATCCCTGATTCATCAAAGGATTTTCCATGAGGTGGTTGTTCAAACTTCCATTTAGTCATCCACTATGGCAACCGACCCATGCGAGGGCATGGAGCTCCGGATACCGGTGCCTTCTGCAGGCTGCTGAACAACTTGGCCACCTCCTCCTTGGTAGAACACAAATTCATGATGGCTCTCAGTAGAGAATTACGGGATATTCGGGAACTAGGAACTCCTTCAATGAAACCATGCCATGTTTTCTCATGTTCTTCAGTGAGAAAAAACGTCTCCGGAATCTGCCTGGACTTTTGATTCATCCATGTGGCGTTTTTTCAAAGATACAACACCATTTCTGCAATACAGGTGGGAAGCGACCTGCACAGCCTTGCCGTGGCTAGGAAAATACGAACCCATTTATTGGCTGGTGGATTTGAAAGAGTAACCCATCAACAAAAACAAGAAAAATGAGGCTGCTCGGGGAGGCGAGGGACCCTTGGAGATGCCTGTTCCCCTTTAAGGACCTGCATGAATAGAGGAAGCTGTCCAATGTCACACAAGCAACTTTCAGGAAATCCGAAGATTCCCTGCTTCGTTTTACCCACCCCTTCTTGTGGCTGGCCACCCGTCTCATAAGTTGTGTCCTCTGCATCGGACTGCCAGCGGATTCCAACCGAAACTCCTGTGTTTGGAGATCTTTCGCCGTGTAGAAGATCATCCTCACAATGCGTTTTGACCATGTCAGAAATTCTGCGGCACGCAATGGGTCATCTTGCTATGCAGTCCACCTTCAGAACCCACAGCAGTCTCTTGCTGTTTCCTGCAAGTAAGTACAGGTGCCTTCTGATGTGCTGCCGCAATTGAGATCCAGTACATAAATAAGTATAGCAAACTATGCAAAACATCCTCTAGAAGGAGTCCACAAACGCCAGACATTTCCGGATGGCAAGTGCCCCTGGCTCGAGAAAGAAACACGCTTTGCTGGTAAGAAGAAATACGAGCACGCACACGCACACACCAAACATTCACCAATGACAAAAGAGTGGCCAACATGCGCCCTTCCAACTAGCCCTCCATCATTGTGCCCCGTTGGCCCTTACAGGGCCATGGGATTTGGAACATGAAACCTATCATATATCCTCCACGGAATTTCTCTTTCAGCCGGTGACACTTGTGTTTCGTCTCCAAGCAGGACGACGACCAAATGGCCTCCGGCCACCGGGCACGAGTAACAAAAGCAAGACACGTGAGGTCTGAGCAAAAGATGGGTCTGTCAAAACCGTCCTACCACAGGAGCTACCCTAAACAAAAAAAGGTGACAGGTGGGTCGCGGCTTCTGCGGCCGTGGGTCAGTCAGGATCATGGTGTCCGCTGCGCTTCCCCGGCCGAGCAGTGAGGAGCCGCATGCGGCTACGGATGGAGTGAGCAACTGGTGGCGAGGTGCCATGGCTTGCTTGCTGAGAGGGTTTCCGCTACCCTTTAACCACTACCCCCAAGCGAAACATGCGACATACATACAAGAATCACGCCATTTGGCGAGTATCACGGGGAAAAGTGATTTGGGGGTAGTGGAAACCCTCTTGGATGACTCTGTCTTGGCAAATGACGACCCAAAAAATCACGAAACCTGGTAGGTGGTCGAAGAGACCTATCTGGATGAACTGAAGCAACTCGCGAATCAAACAGAATGGAATGCCGTATGAAAGGAAGCTTGACCATCGCTTTTCCGTCGCAAACCCAAGGGCCAGGGCTCGCTCCCCAATGCCATTTCTCGAGTTGATTGTCCTACTCCCCCCCGAAAGCTGTTTTGCTTTAGAAAGGCCCAGGATGGTTTGGTGTTTCAGAAGGCGCCGGCGGGTGCTTCCCCACTTAGTCCTTAGCAGAATCGACTCGAACAAGTTGAAGCCATGCCCCCAGCGCTTCGAACTAAATGGAGTGTTTCGACCCATTGGGCCTTTCGGTGCTAAACGCGCTGGATCAGACTCAGGAGAAGCCTGGAGAAGCCCTGACGGATATTCCAAACTTGACACCAAGCAACTGAGCCATGCAAACACTTTGTTGTCCACGCAGGCGCCATCCACGCTATTTAAGATCTGCACCTCTGAAGCTCTGCTTTGCCGTGCATACTGCGCATGTCACTTTGCCGCGTTCAGAAGAAGTTCCTGGCCTCGCAAAAGCTCAGAACACCCAGCACCAGTGACCGTCTCTGAGGCTGGGTTGACATCATGGCGATTCGTGTCCACCCAACACTTCTCAGGTGGTTCCCCATTGAACAACTCATAGCTATCTGAATATCTGAAGGGTTGACCAAGTTTGGAGTCTGACCAATTTTGGCGGAAGGCGCCAAACGAAATTTGGAAGCGCCCGGCAAACATGAGATAAACGCCCATGCGTGGAAGGTACTTATCTGCAAACTTCAGAACAATGATCCCTGCTCGACTGTTTCAAAGGGAAGCCAAGACGCTTGAAGGAGTCAATCAATCTACCACAAAAAAACAAAAGTTGGGCATGCTCGGCGCCATTCCTCACGCCATTAAACGAGTTGTCCAGCTGTGTTCCTTTCAATGCTGACCTTTTAGGGGTGCAACTTGGTTTGACAGCCATGTCTGCACTAACAAATGCGGGCCTTTCCCTCGGGTGGCCCCTTTTTTCTTGACTTGCCTTGCAACATTTAAGTCATGGAAGGGCATTGTTTGGCCTGGCTGAATGTTGATTCACCCAACCTGGAATAAAGAAGCCCTAGGGAACCTTCATCGCAAACCAAAGCCACAAAGCACGATGTCCCAGAGTTGGGCCAACTGTATTCAAACATGTTTTTCAACGCGCGCTTTGGTTGCCATTTAACGCGCCCTGAAACGGGTCAGCCCTGACCCTCATCCCCTCCATATGTCCGGGATCCGTGCGGGCGCCCGCTGAAGTAGCGCGAGCTCGGGATCCTGGCGCAATCGACGGAAGCGACCTGCGATGGAGTCAATTTGTTTAAAGCCAATAAAGGTCATTGAACACCAAAAATGGGAAGTGCCCCCAAAAAGTTTGGGATCTTTTCTTGCTGACCCCAACAAATAGAGAAGAGGCCAAAGCACAAGACGCAAACCCAAGAGTGTCTCTTTGAACCCAAGATTCAGCTCAGGCTCTCACAATCAGAAAACACTCTAAATCGGGCTAAAGTAATGTTCAAGACACGACGAACATATTGTTATATTATGTGGAAGAACAGGTTGGAGGTGAGATCTTCTGATTGCTGTTTGCATAGCCAGCCCCCCAAAGAATTGAAGATCAGGGCAAACAAAAGAACTGAAGGGCTCATCGTGAAATGATGTTCGGCATCTTGCTTCGAGAAACTAGGGCAAGGGATGAGAACTCACATGGGAAGGGTAAACCTGAAACGTGTCCGCCCAACGGCAAGGGTAAGTTACTTTACTTGCAAGGCAATCAAAGGAAATCATGGACACCTGTTTTGTGGCAAGTTGCCAACCAAAACAAAAACAAAAAAAGACGGGGTGCCACGGTCACTGAAGAGTGGAGGAATCCTGAGGTCAACCCGCAAAAAAGACAACAAAACAAGACTGCCAATCAAACACGGTACTCCAAGAAAATGCGAACAGCGCACAAACTGGCGAAATTGTCCTTAGAGCAAGTTGCACTAGCAAGAGAAATAGGAACCTTGATCAGGGTGCGGCAATAAGCACGAGAGGAACCGAAAGCAGAAAGACGGGCTCACCGGGTTAAATGTGAACCCCGGAGTAATAAACTCCTGGTTGATTAATAGGGGGGTGTCCCCTTTTAGTGGGGAGTCATCACTTTTGGAGGGAACACCCCCGTAATAGTGGGACGGGTTGATTAATCCTGGGTACAATACACTGCACTTAAACACATTTTCTGGGATCCTTCCTTGTTCCCTTGGCAAAGGGAATCCTCCTTTTCCCCGGTCCTTGGGCAAATTGAAAAGCAAAACACGTAATGACCAACAAACGTGCACGCCGCGGCCAACACCCGGAGCGCACTTACGATGGTCTGGTATCGTCTTCGTTCTCTCGAGGGATCTCCCTCTTCAAGCAGTCACCCAAACAATGCCGCGAAAAGCAGTGCTCTCCAAAGGAAAGGATGAATGCAAAGAAACAACATTCAAGCCTTCAAGCGGAACAACCACCAAAGACCAAACACCCATGTCTTGCAACAGACCCAACACCACAGCCCCATCTCGGTGACTTTTGAAGGGGATTGCTATATCGCAATTCGGCATCTACCTCGTGGACCCTGAATTGTGTTTGGCCCGTATGAGAATCTACGGCATGGCCAGTAGATGTTGTGCAAACATAGCGAAAGGTGCTTTGGAAGACTTTCAAAAGGCCTCTTGGCAATTCAACCAAGTAGAGGGGACTTGCAAGACCCAAAGGTCGAACATCTCAAGCCAAAAACCATCATGCGGTTTCTTGAAGCCGCCGGAGTTTGCAATCTAAGGGCTGCTCAAAAACGTGCCGGTACTCATCGTGCATGGCATGGTCCGTAATATTAAGTATCATAATTATATGTATTCTGAAAGCATGGGTTTGAGCTAATTCTAGGGACCACCCTGACCTCCCACCTGCCTCCTGCCGCCCAAGCGATTTTGGTGTGCTCAAGAGCCCGCATGGGTTTGTGTTGGTGGGGGGGGGGGGGGGGGTAATAATGTTCTTATCACGTGCAATTCCAGACATAGAGGCTTCCTTGACAGGCACGCAAACAAACGCATACATGCACACACAAACGCGCACACACAATCACCATTGACAGAAGGTACCAGACGCGACGGTCCCAGTAGCTTCACTGGATTGGCACGGACGGATGATCAGTGGAATGTGCGAGGCATCGTTCTTCAGGAATGCGGGGATCCGTGGATTGATCACGGCGCGCTTGGCTGGCTTCAAAAACACTGGGTTTTCGTGCGAAGCTTGAGCCCAGCCCTAGTGGGAGGCCGCGAAACACGGTTCCTAAGGGTCGGATATATATATATATATATGTATAGTATAAGTTGTATGGATATTCTGTTTATACCGCAAATAAATTACATGCAATATATACTAATTTATGTATACATATATATATATATATACCTATATATATATAGTATTGCGAATACATGTGGAGCACGCATCAAAGGCACTCCCCAGGTTTTGCAGGAGCGCAGTGAGGTCCCTCTTGCCTCCTTCTGCGTGGAGGGCGCAGAAGAAGCCGCCTGGGAGCAACATGGTTCTGTCAAAATTGGGGTGCCCCAAAAAAGGTGGTTTCCTTTTTTGGCTTCCCCTTCAACTAGATCGACCTGAAAAGCGTACCCTCAAAAACACAAGCCCACATCACTCCAATGGGGATTGAATTACACGGCATGATCAAGTGCTGCATTGGCTACGAATTTTAAGTCTCGGAACCACCTCAATGTGGTGGACATGAATCCGCGCCAAAATGATGTCCAAGGGTCCCCAACTACAATTTATCCCCACACCCAGCTCAGCCAAGTCAAGCAAAGTCAGCAAACATTCCATGGGGAGGCATACTAGCGACGGATGGCATTTTGGGGACACTGCCCATGGCACTTCCGGCAAGTATCTGAGGAAGCTCCCAAACAGCGTCTGTTTTACGCTCGATATCTAAGGCCTCACTATGCCCTCCTACTAAACCAAATGGCAGAACTTATGGTTTGCCAGTTGCGAAAATAGCATAAGCCCCCTCTTCAGGTGGTGTTTAATTACACTTCTACGGGGTTCCTTTTTGACTCCACAAATTAGGGTTGAAGGCTGTGCCTTACAAGCCTCTCTGTACCAAAGTGACTTCTCAGGCCTATGACTGTGTTGTTGCTGGAAAGGGGGTTTCGTTGGCCGCTTGCAGAAAGTGGCGACCTGAAAACACTTGCTTGTTCTTGTCCACAACCGGCACTCTTCGATTCTGCATGCTTTGAACATGAAACCCCCCAAAAAAACAACCACCTGTCCCCTGAAGCTGAAAACACTAGTCCGCTCAAGTGCCACCGTTAAGATCAACACCATCGTGGAGCCAAAACCACTTTCAGGCAGAAACCCATACCCTTTTCGCATCTTTTTGGGTCGGAGTCTCCTTTGTGGGCCCCGTGCAGCCACTTCACTGACGGGCCAACTCCATCAAACGCATGCGCTCCTGCGCTGGCCGCGGAACCGACTTGATGCCCTCCGGGTCACCTCGCGGGCGAATCCCAAAGAATTGATTCAATAAAAAGGTGACCACCTGAGTCACAATCAAAACCGATCGGTACAAAAATGGTCGACCCAGAACCATGTAAAGAACTAAGAAGGCGGATATCCGCAGCTATTTATGGCTGGGATCGTCCTTTACTAAGCTTCATCTACCCGAATCGGTTTTGAGCAAGTGGCTCACCTGCCAAAAGGCCACACCGACAGCAACCCAAACAGGAAGGCAAAAGGTCGAAAGGTGAGATGAATGTTTTCAGCCGGTTTCGCACATGACACGCATGGTGACCATTGAGAACATTGATTGCCAAAGCCATGGTGTACCTATTTTACGGATTATGTATCAACAAGCTTGAGGCATTGATGGTCACAGGAAATCTTGCATTCCTAGATCCTAAATTCCTCGCGGTTGTTCAAGTGTGTGCTTTCATGCCAACACGCATTTGCCATGAAACACGTGTGCTAGAAATGTGTTACCATAAAGCTTGCAGCTTTCGTTCTGTGTATGCAAGCTAACCAAACGGCACCACACAAGCACGCGATAACTCTTTTATCCGAGCAATGTGTTGGTGCCAGGGACTCATCTTCCCCTGTCAGATGTCAACGGCTGGGTGGGCCCCACGGGCCACCCACCTCAAACTCTCAAAAACTGAAGAACGGGTGTGCAGACTGATAGCGCCCGCCCCTGAGCCGGGGCCCGTGGCACCCAGGCCACAGGGGGGTCTGCCACCAGGGGAAGTGAGTCACCCACCGGCTCCGGTCACGGGAGCATGGGTGGGCCCACGCTAAGATCAAATGCATCTCCATTCAGGAGACGCGGGAGAAAAATGAACTCCTCGCAGAGTTCCTGTTTGGGGACCCTGTTCAAAGGGTCGAACCCAGAGAAATCTGGGTGCGTCAGGTCATCAGCCCACTGGTTGAATTCCCGGGGCACGTGGTTGGCCGCCAGCGAGCAGCCATGGGTGTGGAGCAGGAAGACCAGCTCCATCAGGATAGCCGCGGTGTAGGGCTTCTTGGATCCAAGGTTGAGCATAGCCATGACGTTGCCCTGATTGTCACTGCCCACCGGGAGTCGGACCCGGGAGGACAGAGGGCCTTGGTGCGTGAGGATCATGTTACAGAGGAAGAGCGTGCCCAGCATTTCCAAAGCCGCAATCCTCCGCTTGGGATCCCCATTCTTGAATGCCCAAGGATACTCCTCCGCGTGGATCTGCTCGTGGAACCAGTGCGCCTCCTTCTTTTCCGGCTCCACTTTGTTGGAGCACCATCCTCCCACAAATGCCAGTCCTTCGTCCGAGGCGCTAGCATCGCTGCAACCCCACCAAGAGGACTTCGGCAAGTAAGGGGAGTACTGGACGAAGGGCGTGTTGAAGAGGAACCGCAGCATGAACGCCAGCATCCTGACCACCTTGGGGGGTTTCCCCACCGTGGTGGTGGCCATCTTCCAGGCCCAGAGTGGCTGGAGCATCGACTTCGCCAGCGGACATGCAGCAGTGGCCCATTGGATGCGGCCCAGGGCCTTCTCGATGTCCTTTGAGTGCATCGCCTGCCCTTCCACCATGGTCTGCAAGACCTCCATGACCAGGATGTGTTTGTTGGCGGCCATGAGAACCTGCGGGATGTTCGGGTGGACCACGAAGCCCAGCCACGTGTTGACCTCCGCCAAATGTGTCTTCTTCCAACTAAGCGGGGTGCCCAAGGCCAGGAGTGTGGCCAACAGCGCCACCGCCAAGTTTACTGCCCCCTCGCTGCGAAGCAGCCACAGGAAGTCATCCACAAAGACGAAGTTCCAATCCACTTGAGGGAAAAGTGCGTAGAGGACCCGGAGTAGAAGAGCTGCCAGGCGTCCCCAGTAGGATTGGGCACTGGCCATGCCGTATGTGCCGACCTTGTTCACCCACCATTCTTCCCCCAGTGAAGCCACCTGGAACCGCCAGTCCTTCCTGAGGACCTTCACTCTCCGGTGGGCCTTGGTGACGTCCGCCTTGAGCAGCACCCACTTGGTGCCTGGCTCCGGCCATAGCCAGCCCCCAGGTGGAGGTTTGACGGCCTCCCTCTCGGGGCCAGGGGCACCCTGAGAGGGAGGTCCCTCCGCAGCTGCCGCATGTATCCAATGAAGAGCTTGTACCCCATCCAGCACCGTCGGAGCCGTTGTCCTTTCCACCGTCTGGTTCCTGATGGTGTCATTGGCCCCGCCCACCGAGCCATCGTAGATGGTGCGGATCTTGTCCCCTTCGTCGATGCCCGCTAGGGGGCCGGGACAAAGGTCCTCAATCTCGCATCCACAGCGCGATGCTGCCTCCACCTTAGTGAGGGGGCCCTCTACCATGCCCATGGGGACCTCCTCCAAGAATGTGCCACGGATGAGCTCACTGAAGTGATCCGCCGACCGGTAGTTACCCCCGGCCCGTGGGATGAGGGAGTTCCTGGAACTCCGGCTCCTCCCCTTTCAGCTCCTTCTTGAGTGGCCAGATGCCCGGCGAGGCCAGGGGTGGGTCCGCGCCCTTCAGTGGGCCCCCTTGTTCCAGATTTCAGGATCTCCCTGATATCCTCCAGCAGGTCCTCCGGGAAGGGATGTGACCCGTCCCCCAACGAGAGCGACTCCTGGAGCTTGTCCCCCCATGGCGAAGTGAGGACACAGATCTTGGCCCCCATCACTGCTGCTTTGGACAGTGGCCGAGTCCACGGGGCCAGCCGTCCCAGTGAGGGCTTCCCACCCCCATCCCGTAGGGGGCGCTGTTTGAAGGCCATCTGGAGGTACATAACCTTGTTGGAGAGATTCGGGTCGTGCGTGATCGGCAGGGTGGTGGGCCGATCCGAGATCTCCATGCAATGGCGTGCCCATGGCTCAGGGGAAAGAGTTCCCCCCCGAAGTTCAACCATCCCCCCAGCCGGCTGTGCTGGTGTCCGGGCCTCCGGACTGTCTGATGCCGAGACCGGAAGTGAGCCCAAGGTTAGTCCCGCCAACGCTTGTTGGCCGGCCACCAGCCTCCGGGACTGGCGCTTGTTGTCCCCCGGCGTGCTGGGAGAAGGTTCCCTCTGTCGCCTCGGGGGGGTCGTTGGGTTCGCCTGGGGCACCATGCCCCCCGGCCTCAGCGCCTCCAGGACGGGTCCCGCTCTGCAAAGGATGGCCGCTGCGAGACCCTGCATCATCTGCTCTGGATACCGGCTGAGGTCACTGGAGTTGAGCTTTTCCCCCCTGGCGTGAGCGCCGTGGTTGCATCGCAGATCATGCCAATGGTGAAGGGGAAGGTCCGTTGACAATGTCGTGGACTTCACTACCACCTGACCCAGGCGGCACTCGTCAAACTTGATGAGGGAGTGGTGGAGTGCGTTCGCCCATTGAATGTAGGCCCGTGTGACCCAGATCGATAGTTGACCTAGCCCCAGGTAGGCCAGCGAGGTCAGGTACATCTGTCGGAGCATGGCACATGCTTCGATGGGGGGGCATCACACACCCACCCATCCTTCCTGACCGGGCAGTTGGATCGGCCGCATGAACCCGAACACTTGTTGTGAAGGTGATGATCTCTGCAGTACGCCACCCCTTTGGGATTCTTGAAGGCCCAGGGGTCGAGGGGGTGTTGGGGGACTTCCCCTTGCCGCCTTTGGCCAGGATCCCTTTCCCCCCTTCTTGGGCTTCTCCCACTGAGTCTGCCACACCTTGGGTGCCTTGCTCTTGCTCTTCCCCTTCTCCGGCGCCCTGTTGAGGTGCTCATAGACCTCCCGCTGCCAGAAGAGGAAGTCGCCCCTGATGTTCTTGAGGGCTTCGGAGAGAGTGGTGCCCTGGTGCACCATCTCGTGAATCTTGCGCCATGCATTGCGCTCCGCGAACAGCAAGGTGGTGCCACTCGGGGGGGGGCTTCCTGCCGGCTATGTCTTCCCCATAGAACCAGGAATACCAATCATCCAGCTCCTCCTTGGTGACCCTCAGGTTGCCAAACTGTGGCAGTGCTGTGCACATCAGGAGCGTCGTCCTGAAGGTTTGGTGCAATCGTTCCAGCTGGCGCCGGGATGTAGGGTGGCTCCTCACCTCTTCTTCATCCTCCCTGTCCCAGCCGTCCACCGTGATCTTCTTGTGGGTGGATGAGGGGCGTTCTCCTTCTTCCGGGAGCGCGCTCACGATGTGTTTTGCCGGGATGTAGCCCAGCTCGCCCTTGGCAATCATACGCCATTGCTTCTTGAGGTAGCCATCACTCCCTTGGAACTCCAACCTCGGCTTCGGGGTCGCATGCGTGGCCACATAAGGACCTCCAGGGGCGCCTTTGTCGGGCCCGCCTGGCCCGCCGGGTGATCACCTTGGTTGCCCCCCCGGACCAAGTTGGCTGCCACCCGAACTGCCTGAAGGAGGCGCATCGCCGTGAAGGCCAAGGTCTGGGCGTTGAACCCGTTCTCCCCATCCCGGAATCCCAGGTCCCGGGGACCATTCTCCCTAGCCGCCGCCAGCGATCCGCCAGGTCTTCCACCGTGACGTATCCCGATGCGCCCAGAGCCGCCTGGGTGGCCCAGGGGATTTCCTTGCCCACCAGGATGGCCGCCAGTGGCTTCTGCAACTTTGCCACGTCCTCCTTGAACTCCGCTGGGACCTCCTCCGGTGGTTTGGCCGCCATGACCTCCGACCTTGGTGTGGGTGGGTGGGTTTTTCACACAAATTGGGTTCAAAGAACCCAGGGCAAAGCTTGAGCCAAAATGGCAGAGCCATTATGGTCAAGCATTTCAAACACAGTTCATGTTTCCACATGCGTTTCAACATTAACAAAGTGTATGCAAGCTAACCAAACGGCACCACACAAGCACGCGATAACTCTTTTATCCGAGCAATGTGTTGGTGCCAGGGACTCATCTTCCCCTGTCAGATGTCAACGGCTGGGTGGGCCCCATGGGCCACCCACCTCAAACTCTCAAAAACTGAAGAACGGGTGTGCAGACTGATAGCGCCATTTCCGAAGGACAGTCTGGCACACCCGCCATTTCCGAAGGATGCCAGTCTG